CGGAGCCTCTACAAGTAAAAACAGTAGTTTTTCTTGCATACTCCTGAGGTGAGGGAATTTTCTCAATTTTCTGCTAAAAGTATTAGAGTCAATTGAGAATAATTTCCGATAATTAATTACTTGGCTGATTTTGATTTTTTTTCTTTAATTAATCCGACGACGGAGCCTCTGCAAGTAAAACAGTAGTTTTTCTTGCATACTCCTGAGGTGAGGGAATTTTCTCAATTTTCTGCTAAAAGTATTAGAGTCAATTGAGAATAATTTTCAATAATTAATTAATTGGTTGATCTTGATTTTTCTTTAATTAATCCGACGACGGAGCCTCTGCAAGTGAAACAGTAGTTTTTCTTGCATACTCCTGAGGTGAGGGAATTTTCTCAATTTTCTGCTAAAAGTATTAGAGTCAATTGAGAATAATTTTCGATAATTAATTAATTGGTTGATCTTGATTTTTCTTTAAATAATCCGACGACGGAGCCTCTGCAAGTGAAACAGTAGTTTTTCTTGCATACTCTTGAGGTGAGGGAATTTTCTCAATTTTCTGCTAAAAGTATTAGAGTCAATTGAGAATAATTTTCAACAACTAACTACTTGGTAAAATTTTAAGGCTTTTGGATAACACAAATTCGAGCTGGTACCATCTTTTGATGGGCGTTGTGAGGGTGCTATAACCTTCCTCACACGTAACCGAACTCCCGAACTCTGTTCTGGTTAAGCAGACCCGAACCTATTCTTTTAGGGACCCTTAAGCTTAGGTGTTCCCTAAAAGGGCAGATTCCTTAGGTGGCCAATCACACCTGGATAAAAGATTGGTGGCGACTCCCTAAAGTCAATGTCTGGCGATAGATCCCCGGATCTAGACGTTACGACATTTATGAAAAAATTACCTAAATATATAATATAAAAATAAAAATAAGCTAAAAAAAATAAATTATAGTTTTTATTTTTTTTAAAAAAAAAGCTATGGATATAAGGATTACCTATACTTATTAAATACTTAGGAGGATAAGGGTGAGGATAAATTTGAAATACCTATTTGATATGAATACCAGGATAGGTATAACATAAAAATTTGGGAATGGGATAGGGAATGCTCTATTCGCCTTATACCTTACCTACTGACATCCGTAGAAGGACCTCATTAAAGAGCAATGGGTTGCATTCTTTTAAAATCTTAATATGGAATATTTGATTTGGAGAGCACTTTGGATGCTTCATACATCTATATTGTATAGTTGAAGTGATAAAACATGGGTTCACTTTTATGAATTTCGAGAGTTATGAGTTATGTACCCTTTTATGGTCAGGAGATAGTATAAGTCTAAACAGTTTGTTCAGATGACTCATGGGTTAAACCAGTTAGAGTTTGATTATGGAAAATCTAACTATGTGGTTGGACTACACAATATCACTAAAGTATAAAAATAACCTATTGATCACAGTTGAGAAGATGTACTTATGATGTCACTCCAGGATATTTAGTATGGAGAGCAAAATGGGTTAATAATATGGTACCCTCCATATGATGGTTTGCTCAACTAGTTGATTTATGGGCAAAGGCACTGATGTTGGAAATCAAAATCACAAGATTGGAATTTGAGGCAGAAAAAGCAAGGACACAAAAAGAGAATCTCAGACTTTAAGAAAAATTGAGACAATTGAATTATTAAGCCATTGTATAGGAAAGACAATTGGAGAAAGTTACTAAGGATAAAGATGTAAATCGTGGTTACCTTTAAAGCTTGCATAAGAAAAATCAGAGGTTAAAAGCTTAATTAAAAGATGAAAAGATCAGATCCAATGAAAGCCAAATTTTTTTTTTTTGTTTTGTTTAGTAATGGCATAACAATAAAATAAACCATCTAAGTATATTTAATCAAATTTTCACTTAAGCCCTTACTTTGTTATCGTGTGATTAAGTCAAACTATTTGAGTTTAATGAAACCTAATTTGGATGGGAAATTCTAGTGATGATCCTATTAATTCGAATTGATGACATATATATATATAGGCAAACTTTAATGACATTGCACTATGTGGAAAAAATTAATTGACAGTTGAAAACTAATTAAACATATGTTTAAAGTTATACATTCTTCAACCTTTGTAATTTATTCAATTTTTAATGAAATTATGATTTTTTTTTATATTTATATGAACTATAACTTTCTGAGTTAAGACCTAACAACGTGTGCAACATAATTAATTGGGAAAGGATACTTCAAATAAGCTAGATATTTTCTCTCAAGAATAAAGGTTATAAATTTAAAGCGTATACATTAGTTATAAGGTCCTTTCCAAGTTGCAAGCCTTCAATGTCTTAGAGAGTTAAATGTGTCAAATTGTAATAGGTTGAAATCTATCTTCTCTTTTATGCTGGCTATAAATTTGCCACACATGAACTATTTGGATATAGAGTGTTGTGAAGAGTCAAATGAAATCATTGAAATAAACCAAACTTCAATAGCATCATTATTATAAAGTCATATTTAACCTATATCCTTCCCTTGTCTTAAACATATATGGATTTATGGGTGTAACAATTTCAAGGCTTGTTTCCAATTATTGTTGCCTATTCTCTTTTAAAACTAAAAAATATCAAAATTAATTTGGCTTCCAAATCAAAGCAAGTTTTTGGGTATCAAAGTGAATTAAACTTGAGATAATGGAAAAGGAATAGTATTCCTTAAATTAAAAGGATTGAAACTTTCAGAGCTTCTAAGCTTAAATACCTTCATTCAAATGGGTTATCATTTTGAATTCCCTTCTTTATGTTATTTTGGAGTAAAAAGGATGCCCCAATTTGAGTACAAGCTTTAGTAAAGACTCAAAACACATTTTCATGCCATAACAATGGTACCTAACCAACTTTTCTTTACTTATGCTTAATTTCTTGTTCTTGATGGTTTTAATTATCAAAATGAAGTGTTCTTGTTCTTAATGAAAACAAAAGTCATATCTATTTTTTTGTTCTTAATGGAATACTTGAATATATACACACATGAAATGTTTAGTCCATCACCTAGTTATATAGAATCAATTAATTAACTAATATACTTTTTTTTAATTGAAGCTGTCAAATATTAAATCTGATTAATTAAATTAAAAATCTAACTATTAGGGGTATTTTTAGGTCTAAAGGTTATTTTGGTCATCTTTTCTCATTAGAGACTACCAACAGATAGCCAGGGATATTTAGACTTTTAGACTGACCTTACATGTTTGATTGACTTAAGGTCATAGTACCACGTCAGCTCAACCACCTTACTAATCTGCCCAGCGAGCTCCCCTCAATGTTGACTTGTCGTCCTCTTGGTGGACAATCAATATCTAAGTTAACTTGATACTTTAGGTAATCTTTAACCATGTGACTAACCTTTGGCAGCCTAAGTTGCCCTAAACCCTTTACTTTCAAACTATAACTAAAGTCATGCAAGTACTATCTAGACATGACATGTCCTTCTTTCTTCTTTATTCTCTTTTCCATTTTTCTCTTTGGCTAATCTTTGACTTGAGCATCAAAGCACAAATTTTAAGGACACTCTTAGTATTTAATCATAATCGCTTTCTTTCTTTCCTTTGTGATTTTAGAGTCTTACCTCTTCAACTTAGCTTGACACAAGCATTTGATGCACCAGGTAAGGGAATTTCTTTTTCTGGCTGAGCTAAAACACCATGCCACCAAGAAAGAAAGTTGTCGAGAAAGTAAAACCAACTGCCATAGCTAGAATGAAACCTAAGCCAGCCAACCTACAAACTGGCCTACATTAGCAGGCCCTATAATGGATTTGTTTATTATGGACGGAATAACATTACAGACTTAGTTAATACCGATGGAATTTTTTTGTCTATAAATCAGTCAATAATGTTATCATTGACAGAAATTTGGCTTTTACCAATGAAAATTTTCACCAATAAAACCCATTTTTCTAGTAATGTGCTCTATATTTAAAACTTCAGTTTTAACCCATTCTCAGTAATTTTTTTTATGAGATCGTAACTTGGAGATAAGGGAAGGAAGTGTAAAGGTTGAGATTCCAACCCTAAATTTACTAGATGCTACCTATTACAAGTGACTACATGAACTAAGTAAAGCTTTGAATCCTACTCCTAGATTTTTAATAAAGTTAAACAAAACTTATTTTGCATTTTTATCACTAAAATTGAAGATACCCCAAGGTTCACTTTCACGATAAATACAAATCTTGTGTCTTTAACCTTAATTACCAGTTGAGAGAATTTAATCCAACAATTAATGAAAACAAAAGAACATTTTTCTTTTTTTTTTTTTTTTACACTAAAGATCAAACTCAAAACCTTCAATTTAAAAGCAATTTTAGTACTATTGAAATAATATTTTTCTTTGGCAAATTAATTAACATATTAATTATCAAGTCAACACACGAAGACTATGTTAATCCTTGATTTCTCATAAAATCACTTTTTATTAGTACCATGTATACATATAATAGTAATAAGGAAATTTTTATAGTAAATTTTTTAATATTTTCACCATTCTTAAGATATATTAAAAACTTAACTTATATTCCCTCTACTTCAAATTGTTTGGGTGTTATTAACTTTCATGGAGTTTAAAAAAAAGAAAAAAAAACTTTGATTTTATGTATTTAATATTAAATTTTAAATTTTTTATAAAATTAAAATTTTATGATTTTTAATGTTAAAATGTAAAAATATATATAAAAAATAATTTCAAAATATAAAATGTAAGAGTTTTAAAAATATAAAAAAATATAATTTTAAGATATAAATAAATATGAACATAGAAATTAAGATGGAAGAAATAAAAGTTTATCATAATAAATTATGAGATGCCGGTCTTAAAAGTTTTAAATTTCCAAATCCAAGTAAAAGCCAAACGAAGCCTCAACATTAGATTTTTGAGCCCAAACGAAGCCTAAATCTAGATTTTCGAACCCAAACAAAGCTCAAAGTGTCATTTTTCGAAACGGCGCCGTAACGACTTTTCCTTCCTTTCCCGGTTAAAAGGAAGAAAAGAATCCTCACTTGTATCTATCAATAAAACGACGCCAGGTAAGAGAGCTCAAATCAGCTTGCCATTGCGGATACAACAGACCCACAAAACCCGCGTCTTCGCGGTTTCTCTCTCTTATTTTCTGTCAAACCAAACAAAAGAAAGAAAAGCCAAATCTCTCTTAAAAACCGTCTTTTTTAAATTATACTCTATTCGACGACTCTCAATTTTGTCTGCAGCAATCAAGTCAAACTGCTCTCTCTTCGATATTACTTTGCTTCACGTCTCATTCATATACTGCTTATACACTGAAATCTGGTAAGTTACGTTATAATTTGTTGATTTTTATTTGATTTTTTGCGTTTAAAACTATTGGTTTTTTATTTTTTGCTTCTGATTTTGAAAAAAGAGTAGGGATTGAATATCGGTGATGTTGGGCGCTTTAAGGAGAAAAGTCGCGGGCGGAGGCTCATCATCTTTGGTTAGAACTTTTATTGTTTAAATTGTAATATATTTAGCTAAAGCATACGATTTTGTTAATGTTTTTTTCATTTTTTTTGTGATTTTTCAGGTATTAGGGAAGTCATTGCTGGCGATTCGATCGGGTGTTTCAGTATCTAGAGTTTCTTGTAATGCTGGAAAAGAGGTAAATAATTCAGTTGAAAATGAATTAGATTTGGTAATCATGAACTTAGTTCAGTTTCTTTGAATTTCAATTGATCTTGATGCTATTAAATCTATAACTGATGTCGAAGATGGTTGATTTATTTAGGCCTTGCAATATTAAAATGTTGATATAAAGTAAAAGAAGTGCAAGATCATATGGTAAAATATTCTCTTTTTTTTTTTTTTTCAAAAATAATTCAAACTTAGTCCTTTGATTTAAAGTAAAAAATCGCACGTTTTATTGTCCATAAAATTTGAAATTTTAATCTTTAGTTAATTTAGAAATAATGTTACTTTTTTTTCATTTTAATCATTTGGAGTTTGAATTTTTGTCATCCATTGGTAAATATTCTCATGAGATTGAAATTTCAAGTGCTTGAACAGATACTATTACTTCAACCAAGAGGAATTGCCCATGTCCGAAACTTCTCTCATCTTGTTCTGCCAGGTATATCTTTTGGGTGGTTTTTCTTTTTTTGTTGGCATAATTTTGTTGATTTTCTTTATTATTAATGAAATATTAAATTATTATTATAGGCTGTTCAGCTGGTTTAACAGAGACAAGGTTAGTTGGTTCTGAACTTTGTAATGCACATCAATGTTAGGAATTAAACTGTCACGGTATGAGTTGACTACTGGATTATTCTGACAATTGTATATCTAACTTTAATAGCAGGCCCATTTCAATGCATAGTCCATCTCTTATTTGTTTATCAGGAACTAGATTACTTAGGGTAACTAGTAAAGGAAATTCTCTTTCCATGATATATATATATATATATATATATATATAATTCTTTAAATCAGTTTGCTTCTCCTTAGCACTTCTTTACTTCTTTCCCCTGAAAACTTTGCTTGTGGGCAGGGATGTCATTTCTAGCATTCAGTCAGAGGCTATCATGCAAAAATCGGGCAGGGCTTTCTCTTTTGGAGATGGTATGTTATTGAATAATTTCCTTAATGATATTTGTTTGGCCTAAGGTTTATTAGCATTTTTTCTCTTTTTGGTCTTTTTTGAATGGTATTAACATAGGGATGTGTGTTTTTGGTTTTTGCTAGAATTTAGATCCTGTGCATTATAATTGTTCATTTGAATCACCACTTATCTGGGGTACAGCACTAACATCTAACAATTGTCAAACCCAATTTTCAGTTAGCAGTTGGGCCGCCCAAGAGGTACTACGTAGGCAATATGTCAAAAGAAGAAAATAGTTTTAGTTCAAATTTTCTTTTAAAATCTTTCTCTGGAAAAGTGTGAATGCAATAGTTTCAAAACTTTGGCTGCAATTTAGTTGTATAATGATTTGGTGTAAACTTTGGTGGTACTAGACTTGCACCCG